AAAGCCATGCTGTTATGTTGAGCTGTGGGGGACTCAGGCCAACAATTTCTGACATAGCCAGTCAAGCGGAAGACCCAATACTATTGTGGGCTACTGGACTCTTTTAAAATATTTTGCTGAGTTTATGCACCTATAATATTCTAATAATGGAACTTAACCAAAAAAAAAGGTGTACAGACGATTTTATCTGTGTATTCAAAGTGGTTTGGATAGGCGTTTCTCCGCCCGAAGGTCGGGCTCCATAGCTACTTCTGTTCTTGTGGCCTCTTACGATGGCAGGCATCCTGTTTGAGGATATTTTTGATGTGAAAGATATTGACCCAGAAGGCAAGAAGTTTGACCGAGTGTCTCGCCTGCACTGTGAGAGTGAATCTTTCAAGATGGACCTCATCTTAGATGTAAACATTCAGATTTACCCTGTAGACTTGGGTGACAAGTTCCGATTGGTTATAGCTAGCACCTTGTATGAAGATGGTACCCTTGATGATGGTGAATACAACCCCACAGATGACAGGCCTTCCAGGGCTGACCAGTTTGAGTATGTAATGTATGGGAAAGTATACAAGATCGAGGGTGACGAGACATCTACTGAAGCAGCAACACGCCTCTCTGCCTATGTGTCCTACGGGGGCCTGCTTATGAGGCTACAGGGTGATGCCAATAACCTGCACGGCTTCGAGGTGGATTCCAGAGTTTATCTGCTGATGAAGAAACTGGCCTTCTGAGCCTCGTGGGAAGCCAGCGTTGCTGCTGGGTCACCCAGGTCATGGACACTGAAGCCCGAGTAGAAGTTGCTGTGGTCCCTGCGGAGGAAGGACTGGCTCTGTCTGCAGTGGTGCACCTTCAGAGACTCACTTGGCCAGTGGAAGGCCTACTGGGGGAGCTGAAAATGAATCAAGTCATTTTGTGGATGTGTTTTTTAAATTAAAACCTCACTTTTTCAGATGGTTCCCTTCCCCTTTAAAAAATTTCCATTTTCTTTAAAATAATTTTTTCAAAAAAAAAAAGTGGTTTGGATAGATATATAGTTACATTTTCTTAATGAATAGAATGATTCTTGTACAGCAATTAAACATTAGGAAGAAAGTATGCAGTGTGTTAATTATAGAAACTGTCCTACCGATTTGATTTGCAATGGTCTCACTGCTATTTGTTTATCAATAAAATTATGGGGAAAAAACTAAAAAAACATTATAAAAAATAAAATAAAATAGGATAGATATATAGCTGCATTCTCTTAATTCAGTGAATAGAAAAATTTGTTCTAATAGTATTTGTGGACAGGATATCATGTCTGCATCTTGTACAATGAATAACCACTAAGACAACAATATACAATGTATTAATTATTGAAACTGTCCTACTAATCGGATTTGAAACTGTCTCATTGCTATTTGTTTCTCAATAAAATTATTGAAAAATAAAAAATAAATAAATAAAATAAAATAAAAAACATTCTCTCAGGCTTTCACAGAGAGCACATTGGCCAAGCAATGGCCATGACACATCCACATGGCTGACACTGACAAAAGTTCTACAATCTGAGGTTCAGGATCTCAGGATAAATCCTGAGGCGATTTCACTGACCTTATCAGACCCATAAGCTGCAACTTTTGTTGTATATGTCCTGCTTTACTTTGGTCTTAACCACCCAGCAGAAAAGTATAAAAATGAAATAGAAGAAGTAAAGCCATCATGTTATGTTGAGCTGTAGAGGACTCAGGTCAACAATTTCTGACATTGCCAGTCAAGCGGAAGACCCAATACTATTATGGGCTGCTCGACTCTTTTAGAGTATTTTGCTGAGTTTACACACCTATAATATTCAAATAACGGAACTTAACAAAAAAAGGGGATACAGATGAATGTCCATTTTGTATCTGTGTATTCAAAG